GGGGGGGGGGGATGCTGCCAGTAGCCCCGAATAGAAGACAGGCGAGTCTTCTTGGTCAGGACATCTGAGGGCGGGTCACCCCGCCTGCTGTCCTCTGAGAGGCACGGATCTGGGAAGGCAGGTTTGGGAGGCACCTTGACCTTGTTTCTCCTTCCCCTGGGGGCGACGGGACCAGAGTGAGCAAAACCCACTAGGCTTGCTGCAACAGGGCCGATGGAGACAGACTGCAGGCAGGACCGATTAAGGGCTCAAGGGACGTTCCACCGCGGTGGCGGCTCCCTCCGGGCCCTCCACCGCCCATCCGCGGCCCTTGCTCCATTCCACAACGCGGGCGAAAGCAGAAAGGGCTCCGCGCCTTTATTGCAAAATCATCGTGGGATCTGAAGACATCGAGACCCTCCCCTGGGCTTCTCCCGGACGGTCCGGGGCAGGATTCAAACCCAGGACACGCCTAGGGCGGGGCCGCGAGGGGCGGAGCCAGAGCCTGCGTGCGTTCCCCGGGGGAGCCCGCCGCGCCCTGACGTCACGGGGCGGGGCCTCTGGCGAATAAGGCGGGGCCGCACGGGGCGGAGTCCAGCGGGGACGTCTCATTGGGCGCAGCCCGAGGGGCGGGGCCACCTGGCCGTGCGTGTCTGGGCGGAGACGCCAGGTGGCGGTGCGCAGGTGGGGCGGGGTCTCGGGGAAGTCGCGGAGAGTCCTCCGGCTCCATCCAGACGGGGCGGAGCCTAAACTCCAGGAAGCTTCTCGGGGACAGCTGAGGACAAGGGTGGAGCCCTCGGAGGCCGCAGCCCCCGCCCTGCGCCCACCCTCCGCCTTCGGTCGCCCACGCGAGGGCTCAGTTTTCCTTCATCGTCTTTTTGATCCAGTGCACGTAGTGACACACGCTGCTATAGACGGCGGGGCGCCGCGGTCTGGAGCAGGGCTCCGAGCCCCCCGACACCACACCTGCCAGAGTCCCATGGCAAATCAGCGGGCCCCCGGAGTCACCCTGTGCACGGGAAAAGAGCGGAGAAAGTGTTGAGCCAGGCTAATTATGACATTTCACAGACCACTCCCTCCTGGGGACCCCCCCCCC